CTCCCATTCAGAGTGTGGCCATTAGCATTTTAAATGTGACATCAAATTAAGGCAGGATGCAGAAAGCACAAACAGGCTGCTGAAATCCATCTGCTGGTGGTGTTCTGGGTCCCTCTGGAACACAGGAAAACCTTAAAAAGGCAATTTGGGCTCATTTATCCAAGCTGGAAACTCACACCAGGAAAGGTCTGAACGGCAGGATGGGAGGGCAGGTCTGCAGCTCTGCTGTGTTTGGAGGAATGCAGAAATAAATGAGTGTAATTGCAGCAATGAGCTGCTCTCAGCTCCCACAGAGCCTGCAGCAGCTGCCTCTGCTCTGGCACTGCTCCCTCCTCACTCACCTTTGCCTCTGCTGCTTCCTGCTCCTCCTCTGCCTCCACCTGCCCCTGCTGCGCCAGGGGCTTCTACATTTCAGCTGTTAATCCTCACTGTGAACAATGGGTGTTTTCCACTGCTGTCCCAGTGCTCCTTCCCTGCGTCCCCTTCCCAGCCGGCCCACCCGAGCGCACCTGAGCCCACCCAAACCACCAGAGCTCACCTGAGCTGCTCCAGGACCCATTCCCAAACCAGCAGAGCCACCAGAGATGCTCCAGGATGCTTCCCAAAACATTTCCAAACCAGCAGAGCTCACCCAAACCAGCACAGAGCTCACCTGAGCTTCTCCAGAACCATTCCCAAACCAGCAGAGCCATCAGAGCTCACCTGAGCTGCTCCAGGGTCCTTCCCAAAATAGCAGAGCCACCTGAGCTCACCCAAAGCAGCACAAAGCTCACCTGAGCTCCAGAACCATTTCCAAACCAGCAGAGTTCACCTGAGCTGCTCCAGGATAATTTCCAAACCATTCCCAAACCAGCAGAGCCATCAGAGCTCACCTGAGCTCACCCAAACCAGCACAGAGCTCACCTGAGCTGCTCCAGGACCATCCCCAAACCAGCAGAGCCTCCCAGGCCCAGCTCAGCTCCCAGGCAATCCCACCTTGTGCTCCTGCCCCTCTCCCAAACACCAGAATTCAGTGAACTTCTCCCACTCTGGTCTCTGCAGCAGATAAAGCCCTTTTTTTTTTTTCCCACAGACATGGCTCTGCACTACTTTTGATATTTAAATTGAGCCTTAATCAAAGCTGGATCCGCATGGGTTTACAGGCACTACATAATTAATATATTCATATCTGAAATGTAATTACTGCTGTTGCATCATATATTTAAAGCCAACAGCTGGCTATTCAGGTGAGGAAGACACTTTGATTGGGATAAAACAATGCTGTAACCAACACTGCAGGGTTTTATTGCTCACAACCACTCTGAGGCAGCTTCACAGGGACAGGAGAGCTGGGGACACTTGCCCAAAGCTTTGCTGAGATCCTGACGGATTCACAGGGATATTCCTGCTGGATTCCCCATCACAGCACGCTCCCTTAATCAGGTTTAATTTCTATATCTGGGTGTGGGGTTATAAAATGTCCCTTAACCCACTGGGTGCACACAGGAACTGAATTTCTGCACATTTATTGGATCTTCTCACACAAGTCACTCAGCTGAGTTTTAATTGTGTGTTTTCATCAGCCAGAAGTAATCACAATCAACATTTTAATTAAGATAAAGAGAATGGACAGAATTTTAGGACTTGCTAACCACAAACAAAGAGATAAAAGGAAATTTCACTGTTTATAATTCTTTGTATTACAATCACTGTAAACTACAAAAGAAACACATTAAATACTACTATTTGATTAAAAAAACCCTTTAGCTCTGAAGCCATACCCTCAGCCTGAGGAAAACACAAATCTGTTTTTTCAAATGGCCTGATCTGAAAGGAAATTCAGTGAGAATTTTTAATTTCAAAACACAGCACTGTTCAATGGAAAGAGAATTTTTGACAGGAGGACGTGTTTGCTGCTGGGGTGGAAGGAAGCAGCAGCAGGAGCAGGGTGGGAATGGCACACAGGGCTGGCTGAGCAGACCCTTGGCCATTTCCCTGGAAATTCCAGGTGCCACTCTTGTGCCAGCCTCGCTCTGCTGTCAGGGCTCTGAGCAGGCATTTGTGGCCCCACAGAGCATTTAAGGAACACTTTGTCAAGCCTGTGGGTTTTTAACGTGTTTGACTCGTGCCAAGTGAGAATGAAGGAAAGCATGCTTCCCTAAGCTGCTGATGAATAGGAAATGGGCATTTCTGACAGCAGCAGGCTGCTGTGGGAACAACTGCACTGCTCAAAATGCACTGGTGCTGCTGCAGAGTGAAGGGAAACGAGCAGATTGACATCCAGGAGACAACTCCTGATGTAAACAACCTGAACGTTTTCCACAGGAAAAAATAATCACAGAAACTTATGTTTTTTTAATGCAGCAGAGCATTTACTGTTCCATTTTATTGATTTGCCTGTGTAATTTAAAGCCCAAGCTGTAAGATTGTTCTGGAACAAAAACACCCAGAGCAAGCAAAGCCTGAATCCCAAGTTAAGGATCCCACTCTCACCATCCTCAAAACAACATTTTCCTCCTTAAAGCTGCTCAGCAGGCAATGCCAGGAAAGGATTAAAGCCACATTTCTCTGCCCCTTCACAGGCTTTCTCCACCTTCCCAATTGCATTTTGCTGTTTCCCTTTTTTAAAAACAACATTTTTAAAGTAACTGGCATTGTAAGCTGGATAGGACAGGCTTAAACTGGGGAAGAAGTGCTCCCCAAGGGAAAAACAAGGCAGGAAAGTTGCTTTAAAGCCAATCTTGACCTTGCATAATCCAGATTTCCAGGGGACCACTGGAGCCCAAGCACTGGCTCAGCTGCCCCGAGAGGAGGGAGAGCAAATATTGAACATCAGCAATGAAGGGGAGCTGATAACCAATAAAAACATGTAAGGCAATAGACCAAACTCAGATTGAATCCTGCCTCACCACAGCTTGCTCCTAATCAAAGTCCTCAAGAGTAATCTGGTCTTGAATCCTGAAAGAGGATAGCATTAATCCAAAGAAAATGAACTAGCACCAAAAAGAGATTATTAAAATGTTCTGGGACACAGCACAGAATAACCCAATCAGCAGAGAAAAAAAATCATCCACTGCCTTTTTTTAAAAATCCAGACAACTATCACACATACTATTCTGAGAGACAACAGCAATTTCACTCTTAAAATGTTTTAAGCTCAATAATTCACACTGGTGAAGTGAAGCCAACAAAGAAAAGCATTTATGGATATGACACCTCCTCACCTGCCCTGCCACCCCATCCTTCTGTGAGGACAGGAAAAGGAAACTGCACTGGTACCAGCCAACACTCACACGTTTCAGTGCTGGAGGGCAAAAATAAACCAGAGGATTCCCAGAGAGCTGTTCAAAGTTCTGCAAAATTCCAAACAAAACCCAAAGCACCACAGTGATCCTGGTCCAGCAAGGACATCCTGATTTTCACTGGGTCATCTGTAACTCCCTCTGATTTTATTAAATATAACTTTATGTTCCTGTTTTATCAGTAAAACACCCCCATAATTCCTGTCCCCAGACTGCACCTAGAACCAGGGGAAGCATAAGGTAAGGCTCACACACTCAGCCAGAAACTTTTATTTTGTGACAACCAACACATAATGTATTTAATTAGTGGGCGACATTTCAAAGCTGTTGACTTTAACTTTCCTGCTTCACTTGACATATTTAGCTGAAGGCAAAACAAGGCTGTTTTCCTGTTGGTATCTCACACCAGAAGAGAAATCAAGTGTCCTTTCCACTGCTCATCCTCCCTCTCACCAACAGGAAAATCAACAGCCACACACACACTGGGGATTTTGTTTTGCTGGTATAATCAGCATCAAGAGGGTTTTGGTTTTGTCATTTATACAAGTTCCTTTTATGCCTTATGTCAGTGAGAAAAATTAAATTAACAGAGAAATTCAAGAACTGCGAGCAGGCAAAAGTAAACATAGAACAGAGACACTGTTTCCATGTCAAAAATTATGCACAATTGCCAGCAGCCCTGGTGCCAAGTCCTTTGTGTGCTGAAAACACGAGTGAAGAGAAACCACTTCCAAACCATCCAAAGGTACTAAAGCTGCAGCTCCCTGAGCTGAAATGAGTGGCCCAGCCCCAGAGGCTGCAGCTTTTGTCACCTCCTGAGCAATTCCTGCAGCTCAGCAGCACCCACAGCACTGGAACCAGGCAGAGCCAAAGGGCCCAGGGCTCCGCAAACCCAGGGACTCCCCAAAAACAGGGGGAGCAAAGAGGGGACAAACCCACAGGTGCCACAGCAGCACTGAGGAACATCTCAAATTCTCACAGAATAACTGGAAAAGCTTGGGAGGAAGGAAGGCAGGTTTATTCTGACAGCAGCAGCCTGGGAGATCTATGGCTGTGGACAATACATTGATAAGGAGAGTTTATTATCTGCTCAGGACTCAATACAGCAATGAGGAGCAGCAGAACCAAACTCCCAGAGGTGCCCAAATGTGCTGCCCACAGAACTGTGCCAGGTGCCAAGGCTGTGCCCTGGCTGTGAGCAGGAGATCTGGGCACCTCTGGGAGGGTACCAGGGGGGTCAGGCTGAACCTCCAGGGCTGCAGTCCCACAGAAAGGGGCAAATCCTGCTCTGATTTGTTCCAGCTCAGCTCCCTGACTCTCACTGCCAGGGAATGAAGTGCTCACAGTCCTTCCATGTTATTTTCTGTTCCTCCCCACTGAACTGGCCACCCTGTTGGGGTGCCCCCAGCCCACGGCCAGCTGAGATGCACAGGCTGCCAGGGCTGTGCTGGACAAGGCACAGCCCAACTGCCCTTCCTGAGCCCCTGTTTGCCCACAACACAACTCAAAGCTCAGGTTTGTGTTCAGCTGAACCCACCAGGGATCTCAGCCTGAGCTGCTGGGGCTGCCCCAAAGACTGAGCTGGGCTTTAACCAAAACCAGCTCAGGGTTCAGAGGGTAAAGCCTCACTCAGAGCTGCAGGAAGGGATCCAGGCTAAGGAATATTCCCCCCTGGAGCCTGGGGCAGGGGAAAGGAGGAGAGGTGAAAATGTTCCTTACCAGTTTGAAGTCTTGAATGCTGCAGATGAAATAGGGCGTGTTCGGCCGGCGGCTTTCGATATAAACGCAATCTTTGAAAACACAAGATTTTACAATAATGGGCATTAACTTCTGTGCCTCCAAGAAACAGCATAACAACAGGATAAATTCAAACACAGCTTAAACTCTGAAAGAACCACCATTGCATTTGCATATTGTGTAATTTATTCTGAGTGTGATCTAAAAATAGGAACTATTTATGATGATAAATAACGGAATTAACTGCATAAAAATTGACTTTGATTTGAATAGACACTTTGCTAGGAAAACAAAAAGAAAGGAATTTAAAGACCACTCTGGATTGAGTTAATAACAATGACCAGGTCACAGCCTGTGAACCAGACCAAGACAAGAGAGGAAAGTAATCAGATTTTTCGTGGTCAGCTCGCCATTAAGAACCGAGCACCAACATATTTTCTCTTCTAATTGTGAAGAAAACCAAGGCAACCAATCACAGATGAAACACAGCAAACCTAAATTAGATTTACCTCAGGGAAGGCCTGCGCTTTCTCGAATTGCATTTGACAAGACAGAAACACAGTAATTATTTCTGTTTGCTTTTGACAACCGCGCTCTCCAAGGCTGCTGTAACATAAGGTCTGTTGTGTTCAAAACAGTCTTGGCAATAACTACAACAAAAGCAGTGCCCTCGGAATGAAAACACAGCACGGATGGGAGAGAAGTGCCTGATTAATGATCCTGACCTTGGAGCTCAGCAGGCTCGCACACAGCTTGCTAAACAGAGAGATGCCAACCCCAAAGGCAGGCAAACATTGAAGGGAACGTCCTGGCGACCCCTGTGACACACAGGGACAACAAACACCTCTGTCCTGGGAGGGATTTTCCATGGGCTTTTCTGGATTTCCACAGAAAACCTACAAAATCTCTGAGTTTTATAAGGCACATTTCAAATCCAGCTCATTTGGGAGCTCCGGCAATGCCGGCACATCCCAGCAGTCCTGCAGCCCCGGTTATTCCAGATTTCCTGGTTATCAGGGATTAATCCAGCAATTCCAGCACATCCCAGCATCCCCACAGCCCTGGTTATCCCACATTTCCTGGTTATCAGGAATTGCTGCACAAATTCAGCACATCCCAGCACTCCTGCAGCCCTGGTTATCCCAAATTTCCTGGTTATCAGGAATTAATCCAGCAATTCCTCCATATCCCAGCATTCACACAGCACTGGTTATCAGGAATTGCTGCACAATTCCAGCCCATCCCAGCATCCCCACAGCCCTGGTTATCCCAGCTTTATCCCACATTTCCTGGCATTCCCAGTGCACTTGGCCGTGGCTGCAGTCCCTGCTCAGGACCAGCTGGGCCATCCACGCACATCCTGCTCCTCCAGCAGTGAGTGAGGTTCCACACACACAGCACCACAAGATCTTTATTTTATTTTTGCTATTGGGCTGTGCAAGGCTCATTTCCCAGGGTTTGCAGAGCCAGCAGCCTGGGAAATGGCTGGCACACAGCGAGGGGCTGTGGCATCTCCTGTGGATAAAATCTCACTCTGGGCTGCACCAGGGAGGCTCTGCGGGCTGCCTGCCAAGCCAAAACAACGATGACATCCAGTTACAGGGCTCCAAAGCACCAGGGGCCAGGCAGATAACAAAAACAAGTTTATCCAGATGCACAGCAACGCTGGGGATGGCAGGAACTCAGAAAAGGAGAATATTTACAGAGGCACTCACATCAGCTACCCAAAACTCAGACAAGTTCAACATCGGATGTGTTCAGTCACTGAGTTTAGCAACGCAAAGCAACAAATGCTCTGAAAGGAAATAAACAAAAATAAAAATAAAAATAAAAGGGTTTTCCATGAGCTTTGCAGAACAGAGTGAGGCAATGCTGAGTGCCCTGCAGAGCCCCTGCAGTCCCTGCCAGCCTGAGCCAGGAGTGCATTGCTCACTGCCCTATCTCGTGTCAAACGTCCCACTGGAGCTGCAGCATCTCCCTGACACATGGCACAGAGTCATTCTGCCTTTGGGCTTGTGATCCTCACCAGATGTGCCCTACTTCTGAAGGGTTACATTCATATTCCCACACTAAAAGCTGCTTTTAAATTAGAGCTTCAATGCATGGATGTAAAAATTCTCTTGGAAATCGCCCCAACCAGCCCCATTTTCTGAACCTTTAGCAGCCTAAACGCTGCAGGTTTTGTAGTAACCATCCTCACAATTAAATCCTTTCATGTTTCACCTAATGAGTGAGTCAACACTTCCATCATCCAAGGAACAAAGCCACGGGCTCTGTGCACAGCACACACTTCCACAGGGAGGATATTCCTGGAAAGCCTTTGTCAAGGAATTATCCACAATCCCTCCCCATCAGCCTCACCAGCCACAGCTCACTCTGCATGTGTGTACAGACATGTACAAACCCTGAACTCAAGTGTGGGACCAGCAGTTGAAGGATATTAAGGATATTACACTCCTGAAATAAGGAATATTTACAGCCACAGCTCACTCTGCATGTGTGTACAGACATGTACAAACCCTGAACTCAAGCTGTGGAAGCAGCAGTTGAAGGATGTTTACTGAATTAAGGAATATTTACATTCCTCATCCTGGTACCTGAAATGAAAAGGCTCAGTGGTCCCAGAGCCCTGTGCCAGTCCCTGACCTGGCCCCTTCTGCAGAAACTGCTCTGAAACAGAGCCAGTGGGAGGCCAGGACCCTCCCAGGTGCCTCAGGTTAAATGTCAGCACCCCTGAGCACCCCCAGAACAGTTAAATATGAATAGGGTTAATGCCAGAACCCCTGAGCACCCCCAGAACAGTTAAATATGAATAGGGTTCATGCCAGACCCCCTGAGCACCCCCAGAACAGTTAAATATGAATAGGGTTAATGCCAGAACCCCTGAACCCCCCTAGAACAGTTAAATGTGAATAGGGTTAATGCCAGCACCCCCAGAACAGTTAAATGTGATCAGGAGCAGGGTGCCAGCAGCCACAGATCATTAATGAGCAAGAGGTACCTCCCAAAGGATCAGAACCAACACTGACAGCCCTCAGTGAGTTTAAAGGCTGAAATGTGAACTTGCCTGCACCCCAGGCTCAGGACAAGTGCCAAACCCTTGCACAGTAAGGTCTGCACTGGATGGAGACAAACCTGCAGCAGCACAGCAATGCATTTGGAAAGGGGCTCAGTGACAAACCCACAAGGCAGCCAGGGGGGTGGGCAATGCCAAACCTGTGCTGGCAATGCCTA